GGAAGACAGTTCCAGCCTGCTTGTGCCGGCCTCAAAGATCCTGGAAACGATGAAAAGAGATCTTGTCATCGCTGTGTACCCAAGCGCACCAGGATTAGTTACGCTGTACCGCTTTTTCATTACCATGCTTTTATTCTTCAACAACAACAACAAAAAAATGGCATTAACAAAATGGCATTCCAAGAGGATATTTAAAACAATGTAAATCCCATTTTCTTCATTTCTGAACCGCTAACATCACACTCAGTATGATGCTCTTTTAATGAGCACTATTAATAATCCTGTGACGCTGAAAAATACTTTCATGTTTACATAGTAACTCCTGTAAAAGCACTATAGCTGGGTTCATGGAGCTTTCAACAACATGATGCAACTAACTCTGAAATAACAGGAATAAGTTAACGTTTGGATTTCCTTTGCATGTTCCAAGTTGAGCTACAGCTCTTCCAGTTATATGAAACCTTACACCACTTTCTTTTAAGTCTATAGTGTAAGAGGTTTTATAAAACAAGATAAGGGCAATGTGTGCATTTTCTACACCATTCTGTTGTTCAACCAAATTATTTCCAAAGAAATAACAGTTGAACTAAAGACGTTTCTACAAGTTTGGCACATGCACACACAGTGGGAGGAGAAATTTTGGATTTAAAAAAAATGATTTTAAAATTATGGGAGAGAAACTGTTCCCTGACATGTATCACGAATCACCTAAATACTTCGCAGAGAATATATAGGTAGAATTTCAATTATCCGTCTAAGCAAGAAAGTCAAATCTCCCTTAAACAGTAACTTCGATTTATCTAAACCAGGACAATTTTCCCAAAACCATATCTTTCTACATGTCTTTGCTGTGCAGCAAATGTTTTATCTTAAACTAGTCTATAATTACTATTGTCAACTAATGCTTAATGGTACATGTGAAAGTAAAAGACAGTTGCGGTTGCTGTGGTAACTTGGTAACTATACTTTATAGGAAACCCCTTTCAATAGGCCTCGCTCTTAAAGTTAAAAAAAAAACAAAAAAGAGAAATTCCTTCACATCCAATAGTACCACCTTGATCACCAGCCATCAGGAAAAGAAAGAACGGATAAATGAATGAAAATGTAAAAATAAAAGCCATTCTTCTACCTTCAGCTGTACTCATAGCGTCTTTCCTCACAGGAGCTCCTGGTCCTAAAGCTTTCAAACCAAGGAAAATAACTGCTCCCTGGAACAATCTCTATTCATAACAGTGAGATCCCTTTTTCAACTTTAAGATAGAAAAATGAACTTCGTAATAATTTCTAAGAGATGTACACTCAACAGATATTTGACAAATTCTTTAACAGTGCTCTTCCACTTTCCCCTTTTGTTTAATTATTCTATGCTAGTTTTTCCACAGACTAATAAAATATGCTTTAAAAATCACTCAAAGAAACCAATTTTTTTGATTCCAAAATCCTCAATGCATGGACAAACAGATCCTCTCTCTTCAGTTGGCATTCATCATATTATCGTGTAGTTAAAGCTTCAGAGAAATTTTGGCAGATGTATTTGATAATTCAATTAATAAAATCTTCTTTCTCACACATTACTGACATCTATTTTCTTTTTTCTAATTTGTCTTATTGTTGAGAGTATTAGAGAGGTCCGCCGTTTTCCCCCCTTTGCCCCCCTGCACCCGGCTCCCACCCCACCCCAGTCCTTCCCCTGTCTATTGTCTGCGTCCATGGGCTATGCATGTATGTATATAAGTTCTCTGATTAATTTTCTCCACCTCCCTCCCACCTTCCCTCTGAGACCTGTCAGCCTGTTCCATGCTTCTGACAAACAAAATAGGACCATAGACATGGAAGCAGTCATTTTTGTGAAACAAATACTGGAGCCATTTTCAATGCCTGTATAGTATTCCTCTTTATTATCATTTTAATGGCAAACATGATTCTCCGATTTAAAAAAAGACACACACAGGGATCCTTGGAGAAATAGTTGATTCTAGACCTGAGGCAGGAAATACACAAGACAAGCCAGGAACATTGTATAGTGCCGGAAAGTAAGAAAGCAAGACAAACACATATTGTGGGCCTCTGCCAAAAAGACAAAGGAGCCCTCTGTACGAGCCCCCAGGGGCGGAGCTAGAACAGCCGAGGCAACAAAATATCAAGTGCATTGTGTCATTGCCCAAAGTATAAAATAAATATCCATGGGTCTGTACTGATATAAATAAACGATTGACTAAATTAATAAGTGAGGGATAGGAGACAGATCTTCTATGCAGAAAAATCCCAAATAATTTACGTAGCTACTCCATCCTGAAGAACAGAGTAGAGCCCGACACGCGTCGTGTTGACTGTGCACGGATGCTCCCTTGGGAGATGCCAGCGTAGACAGGGCGACAGAAGACTCGCGGTGGAGAAACTGGACGCACTGCCGCGTCATCGAGGCCACATCCGCATTCATAAACCTTGT